TGCTCCCTGTCTTCTGGTCTGTGTTCTCAGCCACAGCACTCACGGCCGGCTGTGCTCTCACGTCAGCAATAGCATTGAGCGTAATGGTTCATCAGTAATCTGGAAGCTGGGAAATCTGAGTTCTAATCCTGGTTCTGTAGGTGCCTAATAATTCAGGAAAACCCTGCTCCCAGGGTTTAGGCTCAGTATCCTGTTGTACACCAACAAAGATTAGGTGACATTATTATTAATTTATAATTATGTGTTATACAATTAACACCATATAATTAGCAATCCCTTGACAGTGTTTATAATCACCCTCTAATTTATAAGAACATTGCAATTTCCTCACTTGCACAGGCCTGGGGCAAAGTCAAACCAATTGCTGGACACTGGTTAAGGCTTGCAGGGGTCACTTGACAGAGAGGGTATAGCCATCCCAGGTGACATCGATACTGAAACTTAGACCTGCAGCTTGGGTATCTATTCTTTCTCCTATCATCAGCTCTGAAGCTTTTGCTTAAATTTTATATCAAAGCCATTTTCTTTATGGAATAAAGGGCTCCATTTAGAAGTTTAATCGAGGGGCTCTTGGGTGGCTCAGTTGGTTGAGCATCTGCCTTGACTCAGGTCATGATCCCAGAGTCCTGCAATCAAGCCCCGCATTGGGCTCCCTTGCTCTGGGAGTCTGCTTCTCCCTGTTACCCCTGCTTGTGTTGTCTCTGTCAAATAAATAAAAAAAAAAAAAAAAGAGAGAGAGAAATTTTATCAAAATTGTGAGACCTTGACTGTGGAGAGGCTCCTTGTTCCTTCTTAGGGAAATATTGGAAAAACTGGTGGAGCCGATACAGCTTTGATGACACCTTCCAACCAAGGAAGTTCAAGAACGGAGGTTAGATACTTAGAGAACAACTCAACTTGTGTGATTTGTGAAGCTCATTTGTTTATTCCAAGCTATTTAATGGAGGTGATTTTTTTTCCCTTTTCCTGATTTAACGCTGTTAATGCACTAAAATTTTGTCCTCCATTCCATTCTCCCCCCCTTCCAAAAATTCCTGTGTGAAATTCTAATTTCCAAGGTGGTGATACTAGGAGGTGGAGAGGTGATTCAGGCATGAAGTGAAGCTCTCATAAATAAGATTAGCGCCCCTATAAAAGAGAACCCGGAGAGCACTCTTGGCTCTCCTGCCATGTGAAAGCACAGTGGGTGACGGCCCTCTCTGAACCAGGAAGCAGATTCTCACCAGACACCAAATCTGCCAGTGCCTTGATCTTGGACTTCCAGACCTGTGGGAAATACGTGTTTGTGGTCTAAACCGCCCAGCCTACGGTATTTTTATTACAGTAGACAGGACTAAGATAAACATTCTCTCCTTCAAACTTCATGTGCCATTGTACCAGCTTCAGGGGACCAGACTCTCTATCCTCTGATGATGTGATCCTCGTCAGAGCATCCCTGCATGTCCTTTAGCCACTTTCCAGCTTAGAGGTCTCTTTCTTTAAGCTAGTGCTTATAGGAATATATCTATTTAATACATTTAGGATTGAGTATACGTTGGGTTTTGTTAAGTGGCCATAATTGCCATTTTCTACAAGGCGTTTACCTTCTTTCACACTAACGATGTATTTTGCCTTAAAGTCTCTTTTGATTGTTTATTTTAAACACTGTCTTCGTTGAGGGCAGGATTCTGCCGTACAAGCTAGCTTGATATGTGATCCTTGGCCAACATACTCTTGAAATAGTAAAAGGGGAACTAAACTCATGCTAATTGTTCCAAACTTGTAGAATAACTTTGGGTATGACTCCTCGTCTCTGAAAGCTGAAGTTTAAATTTTGTAAAATAGAAAGTTTAGCCTAGATGTGAGGTGTTTACTGAAGGTTTGCAGTGCATCCTCCTGAATGTACAAGAAAGGTCATCAAGGGATCTATGAAACATTAGTCAAAAGTGTATGGGATGGTACATTTTTATTGGGAAAGAACCCAGAGCTTTCACTTTTCCCAGAGATCTGTAATCTCCCACCTCCCAAATTAACTGTGTGACTCTTGAGGTGATTTCCTGCCCATTAATTCAAATCTATGCCATTCCGTTCCCTCCATTCACCTTGATTTGTGAATCTATTGAGAAGGAAGGAGGATTCTGAACTGAAGCAGACAGCAGGTGTATTTTATGCCTGGACTCAGAATGCTTACAATTAGACCTGATGTTGAAAAGCAAGGGATGAACCTATTTGTAACTGCAGGCTCTGATAGGGATTTGGAGAAAGAAGGGACATTGAGAAAGGATAGTTCCTTCTAGGTTCTTAAGGTTGACAGGACTGGAACCACTAATACTCAGATTCCAGCAAGAGGGTGATCTTCACTCAACCTGAGTTCCCTATAACCATCCAAGGATCTGAGTTGCTCCTCAACTGGAAAAAGGCCTATATATAAGATGGTAGTGACTTAAGAAAAAATACTATACTGGAATATATAATATAATAAATATAATATGTAGCATATATCACATCTATGTGAGTATCTATCAGGAAAGAACATATGTGTGGGAGTTTGTATACCCTGTTGTTTATATGCCATGGGGCTAACTCTTGATTCTTGTCTTGGATAGGAGATTGTGCTGGACAACTTAGTAGAGAGGAACCTGTAATCATGGTCAGAGTTGAAAACTTGTAGAATAACTTTGGATATAATTCCTCATCTCTAAAGGCTGAAGTTTTACATTTCTTTAATGACCCCGTTAGCATACAGAGTCTATGGTTCTATGTGTCCACTCTTGTCTCCCTTTCTTTGCTAAATTGACCTTTTCTTAACACTAGTGATGTATTTTGCCTTAAAGTCTCTTTTGACCGTTATTAACAGGCTTCGTGGTAGTTACTATTGGTCTAGCATATTTTTATCCTGTATTTTCAAACTCCCTTTCCCTTTATTTTTTTTTAAACATATAATGTGTAGTCTGACCACCTCTGTCTTTTTACTCACCAGGTTTGCCCAATTATATTTATTGTGATTATCTGTATAGTAAATTTTGCTATTATGTCTAATGTGTCCAGCTGTTTCAATGATTCCTTTTTCTCCTTTTCTGCCTTCTTTTTAATTTTTTAATTTAATTTTAAAATTCAGTCTTTTTTTAAAACTTGAACATTAAACAGTCTATATCTATTCTTTTATGGGTTAATCACTCCATACCCTCTGACTCTATGATCTCATCCCCTGATCACTTATCACCATGTTATTCTCACTTTCTTTCCACAGAACAGAAACTAGGAGAAAATGTTTGTCATTGAGATAACTTTATCAGCATAGGAAACCCAACAAGATACTTTACATTTAGAATTATATTCTTGGATTCGAATAATCCCAAAGCCTTTTTTTCTTTCATTGTGTCCATTTGTTTTACTTCCCAATCTTTCTTCCACTTGGTGACAAGCAGTCTCTGTGCAACTATGATTTTAATCATTGAAGGGAGACTTGCTGTTAGTATGACCTCTTCTTGCCCTCCTCTTTGAAGGGGGCAGATATGCCAGGGTCCAGAATTTTCCAATGATTTTATTTGATAGCTAATTAATGGCTTTCTGCAGTTTCCATGGCAATGCCACGCTTTGCTGCCAGGCCTTATCCAAATGGGCATTCTGTTCACTCTTTTGCCTTAGCATCAGCATATTAATCAGACACCATGGGTCCTTGGTTGCTGCATCAAATTGGTAAGACACTAATTGAATTAAAATCTCACTTGAAGGCTTCAGGCTTCTCTTCCTCCCAGCTGGAGAGGAACCTTGTTAGCTCAAAGGGCCAGACCCAAGCAGGAGACATTGGGAAATCCACAGAACTTGGTGTCCTCTTATATAGCAAAGTGTTTTTCTTTTGCCTTTGAATAAATATTTTGATGTCTGAATCTTTCTCTCTCCTTGAAAATTTCTCTATTTCCCTGACCTTTCCGATCATTGGACATTGCTGTGTTCTCTTTGTAATATGAAGCGATGCAGTTAGTACTTTCAAGGTGAAGGGAAGAGGGTTTTCCTGCACGTACATCTGGTGAAGTCTGGGAAGGAACTCAGGTGGAAGGCCCTAACTTAATTGCGATGAGGATTAGGTAGCACAATGCCTACGAAGATTGCCTAGCAATCCGTAAAGTGCAAGGACAGGGGTGAGGATAGCATGAGTCTTTGAAGTGCTTGGAAAGTAGAGATGAAAGGAAAAAGGAGGGGAGGCCACTGAGAGGTGGTCAGTCTTAAATTCATTTTGCAGGTCATGAAGAACATGGATGATTATTTCAACTTCTCATACAGAGTTGAAATCCTCACTGCCCTTGTTAGGCTGCCCATTGAAAGTCACGGTTTTGAAGCTGTTAACTGACCCTCCGATATACCACGCATATTTATACCTTTGTGGTTTTGCATTCTCTGTTCCTCTGGCCCTTCTGCTCCCTGCTATTTGCCCAAGTCCGATTCCCTCCGACACTCAGCATAAACGTGCCCATATAAAGCTGTGGCCAACCCCATTAACAGAGAAAATAACTTCTTCAGGGCTCCTCTCTGTGTGCCTGACCCCACCATAGCACTCATCATGGTGTACTATAATTATTGTTTATTTTTTCAATGGGTTCATATGTCTGTATTTTTCATTAATTTGCAAGTGGCACAAAAATATAGACCACGTCCTTACAAATTTTTGTTTCTCTGACATGCCCCATTCATCTAATAGGCATTGAAGAGATGTTTGATGATTTGCTGACCTTCTGCAAAATCTTGTGCTTGATGAATAGCTGCTATGTGATCTCTGGCATGAAAGGACTTCCAATCTAAATGAACACTGAATGCTCAAAAGCTGAGGTCCAGAAAACTATGTTCATGTGAAATGCAAGTCAGTGTTAAAGTTGGTATCAGAAAATATGCTAATTCATACTAAAAAATGGAACACTAAAATTGGAATTTGCCTCTCAAAAAAAAAAAAAAAAAAAAAAGACCTATTCCCCCGCCCCGCCGCCACCCCAACCCCTACACACATACACACATAACCACACTCTAGGTAATTCTTCTTATGTCCTGAGGCCCTCTCCTCCTTTCCTCTTAGACTATGTTAGGGATGGTGTTCTCCTTTCCTCATATTATCACAGACTCTGGTGACGCCTGAGATAGGTCTTTGTATTTTAGCTACGATGATAGCATTAACTTGAGAAAGAAAGGTGCGTTCCCGAACTAGAACCAGCGAGCGGAAGGTACGCAAAAGCTGACCGAGGAATAGAAGACCTATCCGACAATTGGATCTGCTTTATAACACAAAACGGAATGGACACTATTGCTCCCTTTCAGGAAAAGAGGAATTCAAGGAATGCGGAAGGTGGAGCTAATTAGCTTCCTGTCCCTGGGATGGTCCAGCCAGTAAACAGCCGCGCTGTCCCTAAGGTGGTGAAGACGAGGTTTGCACTGGGCAGACGTTTAGACCAGAGGAATTCCATTTTCTCCTTTGACCCTGAAATTTGTGATCCTGTTTCCCTGACAATACAGAAATGAAGATTTGGGTGCTCAGAAGCACCTCTAGCGAGTACCACCTCACCAAAAAGATCAACAGAGATCCTGAAGACTCGGAAGTGTTATCTGCCCAGATCCTCGACAGGAGTGCTCTGAAATGAGTTTTCTTTCTTTGAATTTCTCCCTTCGATTTAACTACCAAGTCCCAAAACAAGGCCTCTCGCCTTCCTAGATGCCAAAGAATCGGCCGCGTCATGATGGGTGCATGTGTGCGTGTGCACGCGCGCGCGGGTTCTGAGTTAATCAAAGGATCTATTTTTTTTTTTTTTTTTCCATCCTTACTTGGGGAAGTCTGTCTGCAGAGCACTGCAGTGTTAGAACTTACCCCAGTTTACTGTGGTTACTGATTTTTGTTTAAAGAGAATTTTAAAATGCAAAGCATTTCTAGGAAATCTGACACCATTCCCTTTTCTTTTGGGGGCGGGGGGCAGGCCGGGGAAGTGGGTTTTTTTCAGTTAAAAGAAAAAAAAAAAAAGCTATCAAAACAACCTGAGACTGAAAAAGATCTCATCCCTGGGCAGCGTGGCTGGAGGAGAAAGCACAAGAGCGGCCAGCACGACTCAGAAGGAGGAGGAGCGCTGCCAAGGGGTTCGGAAGGCAGAGTTCAGATCCTTACCCAGGCGGCAACTACGTGTGGCCACGGGCATGCCATTATCTCTCCGTGCCTGTTTCAGGGACTAACTCAAGGAGTGTGACAGCTCGTATCTGAGGGTCCTTATTGGCGTCACGCCTGTGAGGACGCTCATGTTTCTCCCCCCACCCAGCGCCCTCTGCAAGTCCCCCAACCGTCCAGCTTCAACTAACTTCAGTTTGTTCAGAATGCGTAAGATGGCACGGTCATCTCATCCCCGCCCCGGTGCGAGAATGAGTCAAAAGAACCACAAGGAATTAGGCGTAAAGAGGGAAGAAATCATAACCCAAGAAATATCTTTATCTATGTCCATTTCCTCCCACAAGGAAAAATGGCAGTGTCGCTTGTACATTACATATATCTCTCTTTCTTTTTAGTGTTTAATCTTAGCACCTGCACAGCAGAGATCTTTGCAATTCGTTGCATATGCTCTCCCCTTCTCCCCCCACAATACAGCACCTGAGGCCTAAGAAGCAACCCCTCCAAGCTCCTCCAAGGGCTGAGACCCTTCTTCATGACAGAGTATAGAAATCACAAACATGCCCAACGGTTTTATACAGTTGCTAGAACGTTGTCGTTTCCAACGGATGAAGACTCTTCCTCCTTTTCTTTGAACAGTGATTACGTTTTACAAATTTCTGTCTGTTTTGTTTTGCTTTGCTTTGTTCTGTTAGGTTTTGTACAACAAAAGGGAAAGCCCGTGGCGGGGAGTCCCAGGCTAACAGAGTTTGGCCGTCATCTGGTCCGACTGTTTGAGGATCTCGGTGTTGTAGAGGTCCAAGGCGTGGTTCACCCTGATGATCTCGCTGTTGGTGAGTTTCAGGCGGTGCTTGAGCATACAGGAGAACAGGTCCAGCTGGGGTTTCCCCGGGGCCACCGGAGGGGCCAGGCGGTTAATTCGGTCCCGAATGTCCAATAAGAGGAGCATCACGGAGGAAGAGGAATAGAACTGGCCACCTTGGGTGTAGGACTGGTTGACCTGCTGCACGGCGCTGCGAAGGAGGTCAGCGTTGAACCGCAGGCTGTACCCGAACACCTGCACATCCGAGATCTTGATGTAGAACTGCCTCTTGGAGGGGTCGGACAGGTCCACGGGGCCCTGGCCGGTCTCGTTCCGCAGGAGGGTGGGTAGCCGAGTCCGACTACGTAGGTAGATGTGGACCGTCTCGAAAAACGTTTTCCACCGATTGCCCAGCAAGAGAGTCCAGTTGTAGCACTGGCTGTTTTGGAGACGGATCTTCTCCCAACGCGGGTAGCCAAATTCCCCGAAGGGCATGTTCCAGCCCTCCGAGTGGCTCCCGCTGAAGGGGTTGACGTAGACGAAGAACATGGGGTCCAGGCTGCTGTTGCGCATCTGGCAGATGCGCATGGACATGCCGATCACCATGTGGATGAAGTCCATGCGGTTCTTGTTGCTCTTGAGTGTCAGGGACATGCGCTTGCGCCACCGGGGATCGAAGAAGGTGTCGAGGCGGATCTCGTTGCTGATGAAGGTGGTGTGGACGTAGAGGCGCGAGTCCATCTTCTGCAGCAGGTACTTCAGCTCCAGGTCCTGGAAGTCCAGGTCGGTCTCGAAGCTGATGAACTGCTCGCTCCGCTCCGAGTCCACGTTCTGTGGTTCGCAGCGGCCTCGGTACAGCTTGTAGCCCTTGTTGCAGGAGCCGCAGAGCGAGATGTTGGCCAGGCTGCACATGGCACAGCTGTTGTTCCCTCCTATGATGCAGGGGATGGGGCGCTGGCACAGCGTGGTGCTGCCGTGGCACACGCAGCTCCTCTGGCTCTCCAGGAAGGTGCCCCAGAACCCGTTCTCGTTGCAGTAGAGGAGCGACTGCACCCTCGCAAGCCACTGCTGAATCGTCCTGGGGGTGGAAGGAAAACGGACACTGTTAGCCACCAGGGGTGGGCTGCTCGGCCTGACCCAACCGAGAACGCAAAGCGCAGCTGCCCCGGGGATGCAAGGCCTGGGTAGTGCCGGCACCGGCTGCAAATAGGAACCGGGTTGTCGTTCCTCGCGATGCCGCCGACCGGCTATGCGACACCGTATGTGGACGTTTCTCACGTTCCGAGGCCGCGTCTGTGAAGTGAACGGCTCGGAGTGACTGTTCTCTGGGGCCCTTCAGCTCCAGGGTCCACGGCACAGCAGCCCCAGGGAAGCGGGGCCCGGGAGATTAAAGTGTCTCAACTCAAACGCCCCTGCCAGGTCACGGCAGAGCCTGGAAATCAGCAACAGAGAACAACTTGGAGGTGGGGGCACGTATCACCTGCAGCACACGTTCCAACCCCCCCAGATTCCTCCCACGAGGCTACGTCACGTCCAACGGCTTCAGACAATGAGATTCTATTTACTGCAACCCCAGAGATCACCGTGCTTCCCTGCCGACGGTCCTGCGCGACCGGCCCTCACACCTAGGAGACATGCGCGCTCCCTCGTCTTCTCCCCATGCTCCAAACTCGCCGTCCAGGGGAACTTGCATGACCACGCGTCTCTCCAGGTCCCCGGGACTCGATCCCAGGACCCCGCGATCCCGGCCTGGGCGGAAGGCAGACCTCGGAGCCACCCAGGCATCCCCCCCAACCCACACTTTGATCAGCGCTGCCCCGGCCTGACCCCGGGTTCCAGCCACCGAAACGTCGCGATGAAGACAGACACGACCTCGGGTGAGAAGCAGCAGAACAGGTAAGAGTATGGAAGGCGGTCAGCTGAGTGGCCTCTCGCCGTCCCTCACTTCCGTGCGGGTCACCTCTTGGCTGTCGTTCTCGCCACGAGCAATCCCTGACACGTGTCCGCCCCGCTGGAGCACCGCCCTGCAAGCCAGCCCGGGCGCGGGGTGGTCAGCGAGCGCTCGTCGCCCCGGCGCCTCCCTCCGGAGCCGCGGCCAGGCCGGGCAGCCCCTCCACCCCGTGGTCAGGGCCGCGAGCTTCTGTGGCCGCTCACGCCCCAAGCTGCCAGGTCTGAGGGTCTCCGCAACAGTCAGTTCTTGCTGTTCCCGCGCAGGGACCCTCCGCTCCCTTTACAGACGCGGCAAGACAGACTCAGGGGCGCGGCGGCGGAGCCGAGGCCGAGCGCGGGTGCGGGCAGAGTCCTCCCGGCTCCTGGCGGCCGGTCACGGAAAACCGACACCGAGCGGGCCGCAAGGTGCGGCGCTGATGCTGGCGACGGCAGTGATGGGGCCCTGGGACGAGGAGCCCCCGTACCCTCGCAGTGCCTGTCGCAGGAGGGGTTGGGGTGCGTCCGCCCACCGCCTCCCCGGGGCAGGAGAGCAGGTGCTCGGGCCCACGGAACTGCGTTCAAGGCTCAGCCGGGCAACCGGGGACACGGGACTGCGGCCTCCGAGCCTCGGCACCCACATGTCCGGGGAGGGCCCAGGCCCGTGTTCGGCAGCGGGAGAAGGGACGGCGGGAGGTGACATCCTTAAGGCGTTTAGCACAGAGCCCGGCGTCGCTGAATCCCTGAACAGGTAATAATAACAATAATAATAAGCCCTCTTGTCCCAGAGGACACGCTCACTCCTGGAGCCTGGGGGGGGGGGGCCGGGCTGCTCTGGGGCACCCGAACGTGGGCAGCGCAGGCACGGCCTCCCCGACACCCTGCGGCCCCCCAGGGCCTTTACCAGCGGAGACAGAACAGGGGGGAAGAGTGCGCCCCTCGAAGCTGCGCTGCCTTTAACGTCCCCCCACCCGGGCAGTGAAACCGCCCCGCACGGCCGGGGCACCTGCCTCCCCTGGAGTGTGCCCTCGGGGCTGCAAGGCCTCGGACGGGGCGTCCGTCCTCACCCCCACCCCTCGCACCGTTCGCGGGGTGAACAAATGTTGGCAGAATGAATGAACCGCGAAAATGAATTTCTTGCATTCTTCATTTAAAAATAATGATAATAATAAACCCCCCCACCCAACGTCTCCACCCCCGGCTGCCGTACTCGTTCCCGACGCCGTCCACCCGCACGGCTCCAGGCGTCCCCAGCCCCGGCTTCCCGAGACCAATCCTCTCACAGCCTGGAGAACAGCAGCGGGCCCGGCCTTCGGGAGACGGAGCCGGAATAACAACGAGCCCTGCGGCTGCCGCCCCCGGACCAGAACACTGACCGAGGACTGGCTCTGAGTCATCTGGTGTCTCTGCGAGCCGCAGGGGCCCGCCACACGTCTCCGATTGCACGGTTCCATCTGACGAGAGCGTCATTCCAAAATGCCTCTTTCAAATGGCCCACACTTGCCCCTGTCACTCCCTCTCCAAGCGACAGGACAGTGCCCCATTTAGAGCTCCTCTGTTCCCATCTGCGAGGCATTCTATAACCCCATCGAGCGCCCCCTTTCTCGTGTCTCATCATTGGGACCCTTTGTCACCACTTGCCGCCCCCACTCCTTGAATCAATGCCTCATTGTGGCCGAGCCCTCGGGATCCTGGGGGGGGCGCGTAGGAACATGAAAGTCCCCGGTGATGCTGCCACAAGCGAAGGGGCTGCGGGCGAATTAGGATTCCGGCCCTGTCGAGCAGGAGGGACCGGGGACAGAGGCCCTCTGAGGCGCATCGGCGAGCTGCGTGGCACCTGCATCTCCTGACCTCAGAATAATCACGAGGTTGTGGGCCGCATCAAAGGAGGCATTAACGATGCAGCCAGAGGGCTCAGAAGGAGGCCGCGTGCAGGGGTGGGAGCGCGGGGCCGCGGGGAAGGGTGGCCGGGGGAGCGGCCCTGGTGTCGGGGCCACCACGGAGCCTGACCTGGAGGGCCGGGTCCGAGGGGGCGGCCTGCCTCTGTCCTGCCTCCGGGCTGGGCTCGGGGAGCAGGATGGGCTGCCGAGGGCCGCCGGCCGAGGCCGGGCAGCGGGGACCGGGCGTCGGGCATGGGCAGCGCCGTCGTGTCCCCGCGCCCAGCCTCCTGCCTCCTGCTTTTCAGTACGTCCCTCGGTGGAGACGAGCACAAGCAGAAACAGCACCAGAAATCGCAGGTTCGGCGTGTGCGTGCCCGACACACGTGACCCCAGCGGGAGGAGTCGGCCCGGCAGACCCGACGCCCAGGCTCCTCCCGCAGCAGGTGCTCCGGGCAGCGGCCCCGGGGGCTCGGACGCGGGCAGCGCTCTGGGGCACCTCGCCCCCCGAGGCATGCTCCGTGCGGGACGCTCGCCCCAAGGGGCACCCCAGCACCATCCACATCTCAGGCGGGATCCCGAGCCCCTGGGGAGCCGGCCAGTCGGGGATCCACGGAGTCCGACCCCACGCGGGGCCACACTGAGCTGGGAACTTAAGGACCGGGCGGCGGGGAGGAGAAGCGAGGTCGCGGGAGAGGACCCCGGGCCTGCGTGTGCGAGGCCTATTATCGTGCTCCCTGCTTCCTCCGGACCTGCCGGGACCCCTGCCCCCCGCTCGCTGATAATTGGAGCTCCCCGACAGGTGCCCGGGGACAGGCTGGGGCCGGGATCTATAGATACCAGTCCCCAGGCTGGCTGGTGACAGCCCGCCTCAACCCTGGCAACCGAGCCACCGCGGCTTCACAGGCGGGCTCGGGCGGGGAGGCTCTCACGGAGACCACGGAGGGGGCGCGACGCAGTGACGCCAGGTTTCAGAATATTTCTCTGCGTCCCTGGGGATCCAGAGCAGCTCCTGTTTGCAGCCGGCGGTGGAGTCCAAGCGATCCAAACCGGCATCTTTCTGTTGGATGTGATGTCAGTCCGTCCTGGCGGGTCGCAGGGTGGGGGATGCTGGGAGGAGGGAAGACAGGAGGAGGAAGGGGCCGAGGGCGGAAGGCCGGACAGCCAGGGAGGCCGGCTGCTGGGCCCCCTCGAGGCCGCGGGCAGCAGGGGGCGGCGCAGGAGCAGGAGCAGCGGACCTCCAAGAAGACGGCAAGTGTCCGGCTCACCGCCCGGCCTTCCGAGGGAAGACGCCTCTGGGATTTCCATTCCACTGGGAGGACGCTGACGGCCGGAGAGGGTCTGGGACTTCCCAAGGCCACACCGCGTGCACAGTGACAGACGGGAGCTCGGGCTTTCTGGATCCCAAGCCAGAGCCCCCTCCAGTCCCCGGAGCACCGTCCAGGCTCCGGGCCCGGCTCCCCTGCAGGCCTCTGTCCTTGCCTCGGCCAGGATCTCCTGGCGACCTGACAGGGTCCCGGTGACACAGCTGGAGCTGCTCGTCATGTGGAGGACGGAGGCTATGCCACCCAGGGCTCCCATCAGTGCCTTCAAAGACTCGCGCCTCCCTTTCAGAGCCACCCGGGTGGGGAGCCCAGGCTGGGATTCCTAATTCAAGCAAACTCCCCGCTGATTTTAATTGGAGGTTTTGCCTAAGACAGGAATGCGGTGCCGGGCCAGTGGCATTTTAGGGAAGATCACACAAATCGAGCGCCAAGGAGAGAGGGGGGAGAAACAGATCTAGGCTAAAATAGAAAACTCATCCGTGGCTCCCATTTGCCTACCAGGAGTGTTTATTTAACAGTGGAGAGGAAATGAAAAAAAAAAAAAAGAAAGAAAGAAATAGGAGCTTGGGATTTTTCTTTTACGTGTGCCCCGTGCTTCTTCCTTGGCGTTGCTTTGACCCTGGAACGGGCGAGTGATTCCGGGGCACCCCGCGAAACGTGCACGCAGTAGACCGTACACCGGACGGGGGAGGCCAACGGCTGCTTCCAGGCTCCCGATGGGGCTCTGTTTCGGCTGCGCTGTGCACGACTGCGTGCGTGTGCACTTCATGCTGCACGCGTGTGCGTGCGTGCAAGGAAACGGCCGTGTCAGTGGTGTGGGAATGCTCAGTGCTCAGCTGGTCCACCGAGGCGCCGGTGGGAACGACAGCGACCGTCACACCCACGCTGTGGTCCTCGTTTTCCCCAGGTAATACTGAGCTCTCAAGCGTTCCCCTCTGGAGTTTCCGTCA